CACCGTGGTGGGGGGGGGAAACATTCTCCCACTTGGATTAACACTTTGCGAGACCCCCCACCCCGCAAAGGAATATGGCTCATTTTCGCGCCAGCTGTGAGGATCTGTAAGCAGGTGGAATTCCTTTACCTCCTCCTCTTCCTCCCATCCCACTCTGGAGCCCCAACCCGGACGCCCCCTTACCACCTCACCTCCCCACCCCATACCTCCCTTTTCCCGGAGAGGACACAGGTGTGATCGCATGGCCGCTGAGGTCTGACGGACAATCCCCTCACTCCCCCACCCCGACTCCCCCCTGATTCCCAAGTCACCTTGGAGGTCCTCGACCCCACACCTGCGACCCCAACCCCCTCCTCTTCCTGAAGGGGAGATTCCGGCTGGCACAGTGCGCCCTCCCCCCCTTACTTGACCCCCTCCCCCCCAAATCAAAAACGAGACTCTCCAAAATGTGCCGGTTGACCGCGCTCAGCATCTACTTATGGGAGACGCTCGTCTTCTTCAGGTAAGGACGACCGGTGTGCTCGCTTCAATCCAAATTATTGCAAACGAGAATGTTTGTCCCTTTGTCGGGGGGAGGTGGGGGGGGGCAAGTGATTGGGCGCAGGAGTGCGGCCGAGAGCGTCCGCTCAAGCGAGGTGTGCGCAGGTGGTTGGCTTGGCCAGTGTGAGTCCTCGTCTGGGCACGATAATAACCATTTTGCATTTCATGGAAGCAGCAAAAGTGGTTGGCGGGTCTGCATCGCAGTGTCAAGGTTTGGTGTTCCAATCTCGTGTCACGTCGTTGAACACAAAAAAATTGGTTTGTCGATGGGATGGACTGGCGACCAGTATGTTGTTTGGCCGCTTGGTTGACTGATGACTTGTCCCCTTTCTGTCCATGTGCCTTGACATTGATTTACGACCAGTCCATCATTTGTCTACAAGTGCCCTGAGTTTGACTGGCGACCAGTCGTTTTTGCGGAGGAGGGGGGTGTCTCCTGACATTGTTTTGCCTGACATTGAATGGTGACCGGTCCAGGGTGTTCCTCATCTTGCCTTGTCTTGTCCTGAGTAGTCCGAATTCTGCTCCTATCTGCGGCTCGGTTTTGTCTTCGTCTTAGTGCAGTTCTTAGTCGTAGTCCTTTTTCCTGTCCTCGTTTGAGCACTGGTGTTCTTGTTGATCCTGGTTCTGGTTTGTGTCTTAGTCCCGGCCCTGGTCGCGTCTGTTTTTGAGGTCACATGCAGTCAGTCTTCTCCCGTTCTGAAACGCGTTTCTTCATGCTTGCCACTGTCATCGTCCCGTGCCATCATCCACTGCGCCAATGGACGCCGGAGGGCCACGGGAGTGACGTTTTGGTTTTGAAAACGGTAAAAGACAGGATGAAAAAAACATTCCGTTTTGTGTTGTGGGCGAAGGAAAGATGGGAAATTTAATTTTCAATCATTACACTGTTTTTGTAATTAATTTGATTTTATGCCTTGAAAAAAGAATCAACTGCCTCCTGCTTTTTATCACATTGAAAACAAAATGTGCTCCAGAGTAAAAAAAAAAAAAAAGTGAAAAATATCTCACCAAAAAAGGAAATGTGAAAAAGGATTTGAAAAAAAAAAATCTTAAAATTAACTCATTCACTACCAGCTCATTTAAAATGGATTTTTCTATACCTGTCAAAGGCAGTGGACAAAGTAAAAAAAAAAAAATCTTTTCAAAATTCATTTGATTTTATTGTTTTAAAAAAATCTAATTAAAAATATTTCTTTAAAATATTGAAAAGATTCCACCTCACACTAATCGAAAACACTGGGGAAAAAAGTTGAACGAGAGAATGAGAATGATAACAGGAAAAAAAATCACCCCCCGAAAAGATATGAACAAAATACAATTGCGGTTTTGACAGTTAACGGGATTTTATTGTTTAAAAAAAAAGGGAAATCGACAATGTGAGAACATTACTCCCTTAATTTGAAAAATAAATCAATATATTTGTCATGTTCACAAACTTTTTTAATATTGTTAAGAACTCCCCCCCACCCCAATCCCCCCAATTAAAAAGAAATGCAAGAAATGTCTCCCTAACATCTAAAATTGTCCTTCGTGTCATTGAAAGGGCTTCCTGGCTGATGTGCACTGCTTGCACTAACACGGATGTGAATCGAGAGGCGCCACAGTCAGACAAATTGCATTTGCTGGCGACATTTGCCCAATTTTCTGCCTCTTTTAGCGCCAAAACTCCTCTTGAAAAAGAGGCACATAAACGTTTTCTCTGTGTGTGTGTGTGTGTGTGTGTGTGTGTGTGTGTGTGTGTGTGTGTGTGTGTGTGTGTGTGTGTGTGTGTGTGTGTGTTGTTAAATATTGTCAGAGTTTTGTGGTACTTTGTTGTTTTTCAAAATTAAACATTTGCTTTTACTTTGAAAAAGAACAGTGAACGTTTTGACCTTTTTCCTAACATTTCACACTCCAAACCAGGAACTGAATCTTCACTTGTTTGAATTCGTGCAATTTCTGCACATTTGAAATCGTCCTGTTTTTGAAGAAAGGGATGGAAATCAAAACATGTTTTTTTTTAAATCCAATTCATCGATCAATCAATGATTCAAATTTTTGTTAGTTACAGCCCTATTCACGAGGGTCCCAAAAATGCACTGTTTGATTTGAAGGGGGCCACTAAATACCAAAACAGTGACAAACTTTCTCATGAGCTTGTTGCTGTCAAACCTTTAAATGTCAAACCTTTCGTGTACGGCAGCCGGGATGGAGGGGGTGTCATGTTTCGTGCTGAAGGGTCGCATTTTGTTTCTGAAAAGTTCCTGAGAGGTGCCGACAACCTTGACTGGGCGCCAACCAATGTCAGGCCACAAAAGAGACCAACACGTACAGGTCGCCAATCCATTTTCCCTTTGGCTTCTTCCTTGTATTCATGTGGCCACATTAATCAACACGTGATTGGTTGCCTGAGGGAGGGGAGGGGCCGGAGTGCTCTCGCCATGCTGAGTTGTTACACGGGGACCAATCACATTGTGTTGATTGTTATGCGCTCTTATTCAATCCCGTGATGGAATGTAAATGCGTGTTTTTATTGTATGCAAATGTTGTCAGGGGCCTGCCGGCTCCTTCCTACTTTATTGCGCCGCGCCAACATGATTAATACTGCCCGAATCCTCAACAGCACTCACGCACGTTCATCCGCAGCAAAATTGCTTCGCTCTATTGTTCATATCAGAATTTTTTTTTTTCTTTTTACCTCAAGCGATTCGAAACATTCCAACGTGAAAATATTCATAACATTCATGGTGATTCACTCAACACACAGATAGGCTAATAGGGTTAGCGACTTAGCCAGCCAACTCTACGGCCTCATTCACTGATGCCACCCACGTCACTCACTGGCCCTCAACTTTCAGTCAGGATTTGTACACCGTCTCTTCTTGTTCTACTTCTTGTTCTTTCCAGCTGGCAGCCTCTCGACAGTTTCATCGTATGGAATCTTGACGCACTGGCGCTACCTGACTCCCCACCGTCTCCGCCCCCCGTCTCCGACCCCCCCCCCGTCTGGGTGCCGCAGAGGACCTTGGCATTCGTAACGTGGCGTTTAGTTAATGAAGCGCTGTCAGGATATCGCCACCTCAGCTCCTCGGCTTTGAATGTCGTTTCATTGATACCATCGCGCATTGCACCAATGCACCCGCCTATTACTGAATATTGATCGGTCCGCGGATGGCGGACCTGATGAATGCTCCTTTAATGATTGATGTTCAACCACTGCGAAGAAAGGGTTTGGTGAAAAAAATAGTGCTTGTGATATCTGTTACGTTTGGAAAAAAAATTACACTTTTGATTTTCTGCCAAATGAAAAACAAAACTCTTTAGCAAAAGTGGACACACTTGAATTTGCGTTGGTGTTGTCACCCAAGATGATCTGACGGCCCACATCTGGCCCCTACATCTTGATTTTGACATTGGTGATGGATACAATTTGGCAGGTCCTTTAATGGTCGACGCAACTACAAAGTAGCTCGCCGCCCAAATGTATCTGGCACGCTGTTGTCGAACGCTTTCGTGTGTGTGTGTGTGGACCGCATCTGAACAAATTCTCCTGCTAGCTTGCGCCTGAAAGCGGTTTTGCCACTGAGCTACCTCCGGAGGCTGAAACATGTTGATCAGTGGCCGCCGATTGATTGGGGATCGATAGATGCTTTGGACGCAGACAGTTGCGCCCATCATTAGCGCGCTTGCTAGCTTGATCGGGACGCGGCGCCTGACCTTTTAGCATGGATCTGAGCGTTCGATAAAAAGCACGGCAGGATACCTGACGTCTATATGTACCTGTAGTTGGTTTTACAGGACGGTGAGATGAGCCGTGGTCTTGTCTTGAATTATTTTTCCCACACGGTGCGAGGAGATATTCGCGCTAACTTAATGTCAGTAAGGCCGAGACATTTCCGTAGGAATCCACCGAGCTATTTTTAAAGGTTCATTAGAAGAGACAGTCAGGCAGGTGAAGTACGTGGGAAGTATTCTGGATGACAAGCTGGTGTTCGAGGCCAACACAAATGAATGCTTAAACCGGCTGTTGTTTTATTTGAGAAAGATGAGGACTTTTTTTTTCCTGGTTCTTATTGACGAGCGATTTCTGTAAAGGCTTTGTTGGTGCGCTTTGAAATGAAATTTTTTTGTGACAAAATTTTGTTTGGTGTCAATGTTTCTGGGATTGTAAACATGATTCGGTTTGTTTTGAACCTGACAAAAATGACGAAGCTTTTTTACACAAAGCATTTTAGATTGTCCCTTTTCTGCATGTGTCAGTCACTGCCACCCGTAATTGTTTTTTTTTTTTTTTGGTTTCTGAAAGAATAATATGAAACTTGACATGGTTTGGAGTATCCCTATCTGATTTATGGCAATAGCTGGAGATGCCACACGGTATTTTTATATTGATAACCTGTAACTTGATCAACTGTCCACTGAAGTAACCGCTGTCCCTGAAAGGGTTCAACCTTTTTTTTTTTCAGCTAATCATATGCCATTGATCTGTTGCAGGATTATTTTCATACACACTGGTTGATCGAATGTTGGTCACGGAACTTTCTGTTTGACCAGTGGTGTGTTCCTTTCAGTTATTTCCCTCAGTAGTGAGGTTGCATTCCGTACGTCATGGAGGCAACTGTGTATTCATTTGCGTTTAATGCACTTGATAAAATGGTCTCGTTTTTTCAAACAGTGTGTTTTTTTTTTTTTAATTCTGCGTGTTTGGTTGTGCCGCATTGCTGTAAACCAAAGTGGCCCTTGGGCCCAGTAAAAAAAAGCTGCTTCTTCAGGATCGCACTCGGTTGTGCCTTTTTCTCATTGTGTAATGAGACGCCATTCCTGCGACCGACATCACATTATTGGACTTGCTTGCAAGGAATAAATGAATCATTTTACGACCAAAACATTGAATAAATGCGTGCGAATGGAGTGCTCTCTCCGGGTCAGGGATGGGATCTTATCCCAAGAGGAGGAGTTGAAGTATCTTGGGGTTCTTGTTGACGAGGGAGGGCAGGATGGAGCGGGAGATCGACAGGCGGATCAGAGCAGCGTCGGCTGTGATGCGGACTTTTTATCGGTCTGTCGTGGTGAAGAATGAGCTGACCCAAAGGGGCGAAAGCTTTCGATTTAACCGGTCGATCTATGTTCCCACCCTCACCTATGGTCACAAGCGGCCGAAATGAGTTTCCGCCCCAGGGTGTGTGGGCTGTCCCTTAGAGATAAGGTGAGACGCTCGGTCATGCGGGAGGGGATCAGAGTAGAGCCACTTCTCCTTCACGTCGAGAGGAGCCAGATGAAGTGGCTCAGGCATCAGATTAGAATGCCTTCTGGAGTCCTCCCTGGTGAGGAGGCGGGCCCAGTAGGAAGACCCGAGGACGACCCAGGACACGCTGGAGAGACTATGTCCCCCAGCTGGCCTGGGAACGCTTTGGGAAGAGCTGGAAGAAGTGGCTGGGGAAAGGAAGTCCGGGCTTCTCTGGTAAAAGTTGTTGCCGCCGCGACCCAACCCCGGATAAGCGTTAGAAAATGAATGGATTGATTAAAGTCAGCAAATCAGCTGTCAAGAGTTATTATCATGTGGTGTGATGTGTGTTACGAATGGTTAGCCGGTGCTGTGGGGTGTGTTTAAAGTGATTTTCCAGTGGTAAGGGTGATTATCCTTTGGTGTAGGGTTTTCAGAATGATTGCACACTGGTGTGGAGTGCTCTAAAAGGGATTATTCAGTGGTGAGAGTGATTATCATATGCTGTCTGGTGCGAGGAATGATTATTCAGTGGTATGGGGTGTGTGAAATGCGATTTTCCTGTGGTGTGGTCATGTGTGTTCAGAGCGTTTATCTAATGGTGTGCAGTGAGTTAGGAATCGTGGTGTGGGCTGTGTGAAATCTGATTTTCCTGTGGTGTGGTCATGTGTGTTCAAGAGCGTTTATCTAATGGTGTGCAGTGAGTTAGGAACGATTATCCAGTTGTAAGAGCGTGTTGGGAATGATTTATTGAGTGGTCTGTGTTGTTTTAAGAGTGATGTGGTGTTTAAGTGTGATTATTCATTTGGTGTGTTCAAAGTGATTATCTGGTGGTGTGAAGTGTGTTGAATGTGATTATCCAATGCGTTAATAGCTATCATCATGCGCTGGGCTGAGTGTTAAAAGTGATGGTTTTGTGGTGCCGTGTGTTAAGAGTGGTTTTTCTAGTGGTGTGTGGTGTGTTAAGCGTAATTATCCTTGGAAGAGATGTCGATTGAAATTGATTATCTTGTATTGAGAGCTGAGTTAAGAGTGATGATCATGTGGCGTGTGTGGTGTGTTAAGACTGTCTTTCGGTTTGTTGTTTGTTCAGACTAATTATCCAGTGGTGCGCTGTATGTCATTGGTGATTATTCAGTGGCGTGGTGTGTCGTAAATGTGATTATCCAGAGATTTTTTTAAAAGAGTGATTGTTCTGTGGTGTGCAGTATGTCAAGAGTGATTACCGAGTAGTAGTATGTGTAATTACCGACGGGTCGATTAAGAGTGATTCTCCCTTGGTATGCTGTGTGTTCACAATGATGATTATGTGTTGTGGTGTGGTGTGTAATTATCCTATGGTTTGCAGTATGGTCAGAGTGTGGTCGATCTTGTCGATCAAGACGTCTGTCAACATTTGCTTTTACTTTGGAAAATATTGATCAGCATTTTTGCGGGGAACGGCTGCTCCAGACCAAACTACTGCCCTACTGACAATTTGAAATAATTTTTGATTTTGTCCAGTGGAAGGGATGGAAATTCCAAAAAAACTTTTTTTATCCGGTCCCTCGATTGATTGACAAAAAATAATCATCGGATTAATCGGCGATTAAAAAGTTGCAGCCTTATTTCTGATACTGCGCTGCTCTGTCGGCAGTGGTGGCTCTGGTGTGCGCACGGTTGAGTGTCATGTGGGACCAGCGTGATGAGTAAGTGTCTCTTGAGGGCGGTGGTGGGTGGGGCGGGACGTGGGGGGGGAGGTGTTTGGGGAGGGAATCACGGGTGTTGTTTGGCGAGATGAGACCAATTAGGAGTTGAGGGGTCTTCAGAGGAACATAATGAGCAACACTTAGCGCTAATGATTGCAGGCCGGCCTTAGCGCAGGCCTCCCACTCGCCACCCGCCGCCTGCACATTACACACACGCGCGCGCTCGAACACACACACATACACGCCAAGTTTCTTCTTGGCGCCATTGATCCGGAATAATCACAACAAGCCTAACTTTGATCATGAGAGCGAGAGAACAGGAAGCGACGCCTGCGGCCTCGGCTTACGAGGCTTCGCTTCTCCGAAACGTCAGAGGCCGGCTTCCATTCCGGCTGGTGGTGTGTTTACCGTCCGTTTCATGATGTTGCACACAGCACCTCATCCCTCCAAAAAAATTAAAATAAAATAAAAACATCGTTTTTCCAAGCCCTTGAGGTGTTCTAGTTTTCCAACTAAATCTCTGAGTCGTTTTTTTCCGCCACAGTTGAGATTGCTGGATCCTCTCGTCAATCGGTTGAAGCTGTCGGACAGTTGAAGGATGTTTTGGGTCATAAATGCGCTTCGACGGGCCGTCCTAAAATTCGCTCTACACGTCGACACTTTTTTTTCCCCCCATTTCGTTTCAGGTGTCAGACGTGAGGCCATCAATCAGGGTTTGACAGCTCAGGCTTGGTCGTTTTTTTGACGCGTATCTTTCAGTTACTGTTGGCCACTTTTGCGTACGCTTCTAAAAAACATGGACTCAGCACTTCAGTCACCTTCAAAGTCCTTCGTAGCAAATCAATTCATGGAAAAGCAATTGATGACTGAAGTAAATGACCTTTTCTACTGCCTCAACTGCCCTTGTCACAAATAATGTACTATTTAAGTTGAATTATTAGGACAAGCGACACTGTGTGAAATGTCATGGTAATTCCGACGCGGCAAATTGGAGAACCCCCTTCAGAGTTTATCGGTGAATATGTTGAACTGAAACTTGCCCGCCACTTGGAGAAGCGCTCGCCGAGGTCGCAGACAAAATCCTCGAATCCAGAAGATTTATTGTGAAATTATTAGAAGTGCAACAAGTAATCACCAATTAATCGATTCTCAAATTCAATGATATTCACTTTGATCATCAATTGTTGAGAGACCTTGTTGAACTGCTTGTTGTTGGGAAGCAACGAGTGCGGTCGCGCGGTTCCCAGCAAGCTAAAGAAATCATTCCGGTGGTCTATTTCAAGCGAGCTCTGATGTAATCAGCGGCGCCGCCCGGTTAGGCCTTCGTGGGTCAGTCCTGACCTCGCTGGATGGGGCCGCGGCCAGCGCTCTTATTTAGCGGTCAGCCTCAGCCGGCATCCGTGACATCATCCGGCGCTTCCTTCCATCTCTGGAATGCTGGCGGCAAGCACAAGTGACAAGCAGCAAGCGCCCGAAAGTTCCCAATGGGAGACTTTAGGATCCAGTCATACATGTTGGAACTGCTGATCTGAGCTGGAGTGGGCGGGGTTACGCCCTGGACCATCACCACTCAATCACAAGGCCTATACTGAAGGCGCTAGAGCTTGTCGAGGACATGACCCAAATGCCTTTCTTGAAGCCGATGCCCATGTTTGGCAGGGGGGGAAAAAAATCCCATGACTGATTAATTCGCCGGTGCATTTCGAAAATCCATCATGAATAAAATATGCAAAAACACATTCAATTTTTGAAGGGTGAAGGAATTGAGAAGAGATTCAGATATTCATGGATTTTGTTGATTATTTTCAATTGTTTTCCCCCTTTTCCGCCCATTTTTCTTTGGACACCAAAATGTTTGTCTAGCGACAGCCCAATAGCTTCATGCTAACATGGATGGTGAAATGCCACAGACGGGCTAACAGAAATATTCTTTCTTCACCCTTTCAGGGACAACGGTTACTCCAGTGGGCAGCTTATCATGTTATAAGGTTGCAGGGTGCATGAAAGGGTTAATTACGCTCCAGGTCTTCCAGCTCAGTGATGCCACCCGGCATGTTGTGCCATAATGTGGTAGTGCACAGAAAGTGCGCAACGCAAAATTGGGACTGTAAAAAAATGTTTGATATGGTTGGGGCAGGCAGTAGCACAAACAATGAACCACATTATCACGCCGACGTTTCTTCTTGCTTCTTGTTCCAACAACTTTGACATTGAAGGTAAACGAGTCCAATGTTAATTAATTGCTAATGCTTGTTGTGTCCTGGGAGCCAATTAGCATCTTTTAATAATTGCTCTTAGCAAGCTCTTCTGGACACCCTCCCCAACACGCACGCACACACACACACACACACACACACACACACACACACACACACACACACACACACACACACGCACACACAGCGCGTGTGTGTTGACATATTATTGTGTGACGCATGCACATTTCTGTACCAGATTTTATTTCTTTACTCTGTCCACTTTTCTCAACCATTTCAAATGATTCAATTCACCAGTATATAACGATTAACAACCGATATAAAAACAAAGAGTGAGCAACACATGTAGATAGACAAAATCAGACTACTCACTGTTATATATTCTTTATCCTCTGCCAAAAAAAGTTGCTTTGTTCAGTCATATGTCTGTATTATACCGCCTCCGGGTGGCCAAGGCGCACATGAAAGGGAGCAGAACGATAGCCATTGACTTGAAGCAAAAAGTGTGACAAAAGTATTTTAATTCTGTTCAAACTTGTCAGAACAGTATTTTTTTAAATAAGGTCCAATTTTATGGAGCAACATGATTAAAAAACACAAATACGAAAAAATATTTCCATTCGAATGAATCCATTTGAATTGTCTGTTGTGTTCGACAGCCTGGCAGCATCCAAGGAAGCGGCAGCCCGAAAAGCCGCCTCGCCGATGCCGCCGTCCGAGTTCCTGGACAAGCTGATGGGAAAAGTGTCGGGCTACGACGCCAGGATCAGACCCAACTTTAAAGGTAGGAGCGGTCGCCCAAAAGAAACCTTTTGGTGACACCGCTGTTGGTTGTCACTGCGTTTGATGCGAGCTCCGGAAGACCAAAACCACTTTAGGGAAATTTTAACAAAAGTGGTCGCTGCCAAAGGTTTGTATATATGAGTATTGTGTTCGAAATCACTCCCGAATCGCTGGTCAGGGTTTTTTGTGGACGCTTTTGTAAACTGAAAAGTCAACTTGGTCAAGTCGCATAAAAAGGTAAATAAAACTGAACTGTTCTTCTTAAAAATGCATGAAAAATTCCAATGTAGCGATTCACTAGTCGGGAATGAATGATTGATGCCAAACACACTCATTCATCATCTCCAACCTTCTAATCACGACCCAGATTTTTTTCGTTGACATTCTAGGAACTATCTAGGTCCACAATAAAAACCCCTCCATCGAGTGAGTAGAGAATGAGTGAATGATTCCGAACACAGCCTCTGACTTGAGACTAATCCATTTGACTTTCGCAGGGGTGTCGTCATGCCGGACTCCCGCTAGCTCAGGCTGCACCCAAATTGTGTTCTTCCACCTTCACTCAAATTGCCAGATAACGTGGTTCTTCATGTTATTCCACCTTTAGTCAACTACGCCGATCTCGTTGCTCCACCTTAAGTCAAGTTCAAGGAAGTGTTATTCCACTTGAACCCTTTCAGGGACAGCGGTTACCACAGTGGACTGCTTATCGTGTTATCAGCTCACATAATGGTATTCCACATTACATCAAACTCCCAGATAATGTTCCACCTTTGGTTAATTCGCCAGATACTGTTTTTTCCACCTTAAATCAGGCTCCCGGACAATGTTGTTTTACTGCAAGTTTCCATCTAATATTATAAGTCATTTCCTAGATAATGTTGTTCCTCTTGAAGTGAAGCTCCCAGATCATGTAGTTCCACCTTAAATCATCACAACAGATATGAGACTTCCAAAGTTACATTTGTGGGGCTAAAAGGAGCCAGCAGGACTCCATAAGGAGCGCGGTTGGACGGGAAATCCCGATTGGAGAACGGCGACACCCCTGACTGACTAATGCTAATGCTAACACTCTGTTTAATCATTTCATGTGCTTGTTCTCAACTTTCAGTGTGGAACAAAGGTAAATGAATGTCAAAATGTCTGATCTTTAGAGATCCTCCCCACCTTGCCCCTCCCTCCTTTCTCCCGTCCTCTTATGCACCCGGCTCGCAGGATGTTTTTTTTTTCCCCGCCTCTGATGCTAGCTGGCTACATCGCTTGTAGCCACATGCTATCCTGACTGCTTGTTGTTGTTTTGTTTTGTTTTTTTTTACTCTGATGATGATGATGATGATGATGATGATAACGATGACAATCGAAGCGACCACCACTCCCTCCCCGATTGGACGCTCCCCTCTTGGAGACACATGTCACAGGTTTCTCACAAGCAAAACAATTAGTAACGATGGGTAGGAATCAATTACAGGTGAATAGGTTTGCCACCGAAGACGGTGAAAGCTCGTTTCGTTTTACTTTACTTACTTGCCAATATTTGGCAGTAATTTTTTCAAGATCATTTAATTTCATTTTTGGTCCCTTCATGTTACGATATGAATCTCAGGCAGAACATCGGACTGTTTTGCAATAGGGTTTAAGCTACTTTTCTTCAGACAATTCTTTTTTCCAGTGAAGATGAAAATGTCTTGGGCTCTCACTGAAGCATTCGAGATTTTTCTCTTTGCTGAACTGTTGTCTGAATAAAAGAAACCTTAAATCCATCTAAATAAGAAGACGAGATGAACGTCATAGTTGAACAAGACTTTGTCCTTTTTCGTGTTTGTTGAACTTTACAACAGAGAGAACTTTTCAAGTAATAACATATATACGTTAGTCAAAGTTACCCAGTGATGACTTCAAAATTCAAAAGGCTTTCTTCGATGTCAAAGCATGTCAGACTTGCATTTGAAATAGTCAAAGCAACATCATGCTAAGGAGCTTCTGTCGCACTGACACAACAAGCTAATCTGACATTGTTGTAATTGTTCATGAGAAGCACGTCATCGCAAGAAAGGTTTTTGTTTTTATTGGATTGAATGGAGTTAGACCTCCATCTAGTGGACAATGGCAGAAGGACATCATTCAGCGCCATTCCAATGCTAAACAGCATTTACTGTTTTAAATAAGAATATATTGGATGTTTGTATCTGCAACACTCCAGCCGATTTTGATCATTTTGGTAAGCGCTAATATCAGCCGACAAAACTGGCTGACCACTAAATCAGTTGGGCACCTACAGCTAGTTTTGCTAAAACCATCTATCCATGTTGCTATTTTGCTGAAATAATTGTTTTAACAAGCAATTTCATGCTAATTCTCCAAGCCGCGAGGGACAAAACAACAAAACATTTGGTACTGACGCAAACTTCCTTAGCATTAGCTAGCTAGTGGATGCTTTGGATAGATGTGCTTGTTTCCATTATTGAATGCATCGTAGCGAACATGCTGTGCTGCCGAACTGCGCCAACTTTCAGCAATTCTGCATTGCCACCTCATTAATGAGTGTATGAATGAAAGTGTTTGATGTTTGCGACGCGTCTGAGGAGGAGCAGGATCTGATCTTCGTCTCAGAGATCGTTTAAAAGATAATTGTGACGAGCTGACCTGGATGTCTGCGCTCTGTCACGGCTGTCGTGTCGTCAGCAGAGCGTGACAACTCACACTTGCTCCTTCATCATGCACTTTATTGTGTGTGTGTGTGTGTGTGTGTGTGTGTGTGTGTGCGCCACTTAAAAAAGCCAAACTAGTGCAGCACGGCTCAAACTCTGACACGCAATCTTATGCTGACGACAACAGCCTGCACACACACATGCACACAAACCACACAGAAAGATTTTTCTCTTGAACCAATTTCCTGATTTCCTGAATAGTAACATTTGCCAGTTGTAGAATCCCTGCATTGGCTCCATGTCTGTTTCAGAATTGATTTTTTGTTTTTGTTTTTTTTTTGTTATTTTATTTCAATACCATTCATGGTCTCGGCGCCTCATATCTCACTCATCTTCTTGTATTATATCAACCCTTGCGGAAGCTCAGGTCCTCTGGTAACTGGCCTTTTCGTAAGACCGAAGCCTTGGCGGTGGAACAGCATGTCAGGGCTGCCGAGAGGGTTATGTTTTAGTTGTTCGTTGATCTTATAACTCATTATGACTTTATCTGTTGGAACATGTAATTTCTTTCACACTTTATATTTGATGTTATTTGCTGTTTCATGTGCTTTTATACCGATGTGTTTATTCTTAGCGCTTCTATACCAATAAATTAGGTCTTATGCAGCAGTTAGAATGTTCACAATCCTTCAGTCATCCCCTACTACCTAAGCGATACGAAGGGATTTTTAGTCGACATTTTGGTAACTATCGAGGTACAGAAGTAGAATTATCCAGTCCAAACAGATCATAATAATAATAATAATAATAATACATTTCATTTATAAGCGCCTTTCAAAACACTCAAGGACACTTTACAATCAAAACAAGATGACATTTTGACAGACTCTCATCTTGGACGAATCTTGTCACATTGCTGATGCTATAATTTACAAGAGTGTTGTGAAAACATGCTATACCTGAGCTAAAACATGCCATACCAGTACGCTAGCTAATTTTTTTTTCTAAATAATGCAATTATGTTCGATGACGCTACACATTAGCGACTTCTGCTAAAACATGCTATGTGAGGAACTTATCCTTAAAATGCCTTTTTTGAGTTTCTTTGGCTAACACCAGGTGTTAACAAGCAGCAGTGGCGCCAAGGAGTTATCGAATCAAAGACTCAGCTAACACGCTAACTAAACGAGTTGTGCCTGAATGTGTCCAGGTGGGCTGTGCTTTATGATCTGTCAGCAATGACGTTGATTTGCTGCGATCAGCACTTGCTTAATGGCCGCTTAATGCCACGAATGGACAGGCAGTAATGAGCTCGGGGCTGGAGGAGGCGTTGTGAGTCGGGTAGGAGGGGTGACTGCGGGGAGTAAGCTAGCGTGCGAGTGTCGTGCTGACCAAGAACAAGTTCAGATGCTTTTAGCTTAGCACACGCTCTGGGTGTCACGTGGAAACTCCCAAATGTCAGTTTGGGACATGGCGGAAGACGGCAAGAACAGGGAGACGGGAAAGTGCAGAGGGGACTCAGCCGTTGGCCGATCCTTCGCATACAGGTTCTTTTTTTTCTCTCTCTCTAAAAGGTGGAACAAATTCCCAACACCACTACATCTTTTTTTCATTTTATCACAACACTATACGAATCGATTCGGGCCTCTGTAACCTTTAGATGTCGTTAGAGCGCTCGAGACAAATACAGACACAAGTATTTGTTGCGGCAATATGCAAATGAGAAGTGGACTGTCACGCCCTCATATAAAACGTTGACAAAGAGACAAAGGACCAGTATGGTCTGTTGTGGCCGTAAATTTGGTAGATGCGGGGAGGCAGACTAGTCCTCAGTCAGACCTCTTTGTGGCGCCAACCACATCCCTCACGTTGGTGTAATTAAAAAGCAATAATCAAGGTATGAATCGTAGTATGGAGTGAATTCCTCTTCGGAAGACAGGAGGACGGGAGGAACTGGAAGACAAGCAAAGGGGAAGAGCGCAGATGGTATAGACAGGAAGGCAGGAGGAATGCAAAGAAGATAAGATGATGGGAAGAATGGGAACAAGTTGAAGGCGGGAATATAAGAAAAAACTAAGAACGGGAAGGGAGGAAGAATGGAAGAGCAGGAAAAACAGGAAGAGACGAGGACGGGACCAACGAGAAGACATGAAGGACAGACTGACAGGACGAGGAGGACGGACAGTAAAAATAAGAACCTGAAGGAGGGAAGAAAATAAAAATCAAGTTGAAGAAGAAGACATGAAAATAGGAAGATGAGAAAAAAGGAAGGTGATAACTACAGCACGAGGAAATCGGGGATGGAAGAATGAGATAAGGAGGAAGACTAGAAGACGGAGCACGTCTTAATGAGCATTCTGCTAGCATTGTAGTGTCTGATATGCAGACGTGTAACAGTCGTTACGACACAATCTGAAGATAAAACGATTCGCTGTCATTCAAGAAGAAATTCTGTCAATTCGATTTGCTCAAGAAAAACAAAGAGGATGCGTTAGTACCCTCTTCATTTGAAAATAAGGCCAACGGAACATGTTAAATCCAGCTTTTTTTTTGTCAAATAGGTTAGTGTGAGTGTGGACTTTCTATCATTAAAAAATACACAAAAATAATTAAATGAAAAGTAAAAATGAATGGAAGAATGAATGTGTTTCTTCTGTGTGCATCCAGGAGCGTTTCAATGTGACTGTATCCGCGTGGCAGCTAATGTGATGCTAATACATTAGCGCCTGTGTGGAATCCCGTCACACCTGTAGCAAATGTCTCCTTATCAGCGTCAACGCTAACGCTAACTCTCGCCGCGATTATCCACGCCCAGCCGCTAATTACCCGCGCTCCGGTCTTAGCGGCGGGGTAACAGCAGGAATAGCAGAGATGCGCGTGTGTTGAATGTCAGCTAGCGTGATGCTGGGACAGCCCGGGGCTAAGCTCTGCCTCCGGCTCACTTTTAAGCCTCGACTTAAACCCGGGGTTTAGCGTGACACGAGCGCCAGGCCGTGCGCGGAAGTAAAAGTCGACGGAGTGCGAAATACGGAGAACAATTCACCCTGAGTCCATCTTTCATGACAACGAACCATGACAATGCGGTTTCAAGCAGTCCAAAAAAAAAAAAAAAAACATCTGTCCATACATCCATTTTTTATTAGCAAATTAATTGACAACTATTAGGCCTTGTTTCCCTTAAAATTGAACAAACACTGCAAATTTCAGCCTCCCCAGAGTAAATCACTGATTTCTGTCATCTTCCATAACATCATTTGCTTATCTTTGTTGCTTTTTTGTTCAAAATAAGACATTTGCAAAGATCTGCTTTCACTTTTTTGAAAGACGAAACAAGAGAAATCCCTTGTTTATCTCAGGGTGGACCTCAGCCAGTGAGAGGCTAGCTAACCGTTAGCCAGTTTGCATGTTGAGTAACGGCGTCAGTCATGGCAGATGGCAAGTCGTATGTGAATACGTGCTTGTGTTTAATTTGTGCCTTTTGTTCAAGCAAGTGGCTAAAAATGCATATTTTAATATTTAGGTCATTTTTAAGAAGTGTTTGACATTGTGGCCACATTGTAGCCAAACTGAACACTCAGGCCTACTACGCAACTGTATTTTAATGTCGATCATGATGGTGGTATTTGGAGGATTTGAAGTATTTCTTGAGGAGGTACTTGAGATCAACGTTGTTGCCATTTATGAACAAATCTGAAGAATGTGACGCAATATTTTGCTGGTGGGCTGCAGATTTGTGTACCGTGTGCTTTTGGTTGTCATGGCGACTTTGAAGCCGCAGTACGCCATCGCTTCCTGCGCGCGACGCCCGAGCGCTCTTGGCTAAAATGAAATGGAAGCCATTTTGACATGGAGTCTTGATACATTATGAGCCCCTCCCCCTTTGCATCATCACTCTCGATCAAGTAAGTCGTGCATTTCACGAGATGCGAGCGCATTTTGCTTGTTTGACTTCCACACCTTCCTCTTCCTCCTCTTTGTCATCTTCTCCATGGCCGGCCGCCGCACCCTGGCAATTTCTTCTTTTCGACTTGTGCATTTCCCCGCCCGCCCTTGCCCTGCCCTGCTGCTACTGCCTTCACAGTATGTTGCCCCGCCCACCCTTGCTGCCAACGTGCCCTTCGTCCCAACCGCACCCCCTGGTCCCCCTCCCTTGTTGGCAGCGTGCCATAGCGCCCCCCCCCCCCCCAAACCCCGATAGTTGTGTTGTTTTCCTCAAGCGGGACAAACAACCAGTAGTTGCTAAGCTCTTGTTAGTCTCCAGTAGAAAAAGAAAACAAGAAATCAACAAACGATTTGTGTTGTGTTTAATTGTCATCTTTTTTTTTTTTTTTATTATTAGACCCCAAAGGCTCCAAAAATGAAGCTACTCACAAGAAAGGTACTTTCGTCTTTCTTTTCTCCCCCACAAACACTTTTCAGTTTTTTTTTTCTTCGTCCTCATCTCCTTCCTCCATGGCGGCGATGCTGCGTGTGTGAGAAAACATTCCCAACGTTAATAATAATTGCAATCATGTGTGTTTTCCTTCCTTTAGTTGTGATTTTGATGCATGCGACCACAACCGCAGCGGCTTTATTTGCTGCAATATGTTGCATTATTCCAAAATAGATTGAATCCACTTTCTTCCTCAAAATGTTCTCCAAGTGAAGCATTGTGACGACTTTCCAGAAAATATTCGCAAAGCTTGACTTTTGCCGCATTCGCAGGGTTCGACATTAAGGGTGGCCCGACGGCCCTAGGCCAGGATGGCACCCGTGTCGGTCCAACCACGTACCTTACGGATACTGTCCTGAGATGGCCATTTCAAATTACATTAAAAGTAAATATAATTAAATCAACCCATTTTTGCTTTGCACCAAATTTTTTAATCTTATATTTGTATGGTATTTTCGTGTATTATAGTTCACAAACGCAATAGTATTTTGTCATGCCTGAAGAAAAACATGACATGCAATGAATTCTAATTGGTAATATTTTCTTATCGGCTTAGATAATGCAGTGGAAAGATAGTAAATCTGAAATTATTGAAATGTATCATATTATCTGAAGAAAATTTGTTCACTATTTCTAACAAGGCCGCCACAACTGAGCCTACTCCTAGGCCCCTCATTTGGTTGTTGCAACCTTACTCCAAAATGGAACATAGTGGTACCTTGACATACGAGTGACCCGACTTTTTAGAGATCCGAGCCATCATTCAGGTTTATTTTATTCATTGTTTTGCTTTTGCTTTTCCAGCAAAAAAGTTTAGTGACCACATATTTTTAATTATTCCCTTATATGGACTTAAGAATTCAAGTGTGTGTGTACAGTACTTTATATGCACGTTGTTTTTTAGGCCAAAAATACTTGAATAAAACACCAGCAATATACATATCCCATGAAAAACGGGTTCCCAAAAAATTTGAAAAAAAGTATTTTTTAAGTTGATAAAAAAACTGAAGAGATGAATTTTCAGGTCCACTGTATTTGTGATGAAAAAGCTGTCTCGGGTTTTCTTTTGGATTTATACAGTACAGTGCTGTTTCTGTAAAGAACGTGAAACAAACGAAACAAAAAAAAAAAAACGTTCGATTTTTGGCGGGAGGAATTGAAACAAATGAAACTCATCAGCCAAGATATCACTGCATTTGTACGATACACGACATCGGAAGGTGAAATTGACACAATAGCAAAATTCACTTTTTCGTGTCTGACTGCACTTTTCACATTCGTACCATGAGATGACATCCGGTCATCCGGTCGCAGGCTACAAACAAAAACGTCAACAAGGAAATACGTATTTAAAAAAAATGGAGTAAATGAAACGTGAAATGGAAGTATTGAGGAACGGAGCCTGTCGTTGAAGTCAAGTGAGCCGGATTATCAACCGAGTCGTTGGCTTGGCTTTGCGTTGCTTTGCTTTTCTTTGAGGCTGACGACATGTTTACAGCATCCTGCCCGCGGCAAAAACACGCAGCCTTACCTTCAGATGACATTTCAATATAGACCGTGACTGTGACTCAACCTGGATGCCCGCTCGTGTGCGTCTGTGTGTGCGCCCGCGTGCGCATTCAGCTGCCATGATACATCTTCTTTGCTGTCAAGATGATTCAAAGCATCTAGCTAACAGCACAACATCAACACACTTCATTAAATTGAACACACACACACACACACAGACACACATTTCTGTACACATGCACACACACGCACGCACACGGGAGATAAAATAGCCGTCTGCACAAAACTGAGCGACAGGCGCAGCAGCAACACGTTTCATTGAGTTATGCACGAGTATAGACTCAAACACACGTACATACCTTCAAACGCTCTTATGTAAACACACACACACACACACACACACACATTTAAACGCACGCACACACATGCGCGCGTGCGCACATATTTTGACAGGCACGTTTCAACACATACATATGGTAAAAGACTGAGGTGAGACATTTAGGCGCACATTTTAAAAAAAAAAAACGTATTTCAACACACACGTGCATACAAAGAAGATCGAACGAGGAGTGCAAAACTATCAAGTGTGCAAACAACACGCTCGCTCACTCCATCTTTGTAATCCAGTGGCGGCAGCAAAGCGGGAATCGATGGCCGTCCCTCCGGCGCCTGCGTCACAGGCGGACAACGCGTCTCAAAACGCCGACACGCTCTCAAACTGTTGCAAGCCGTCAAAAGAAAGCGTCGTGACGCCGCTTTAAAACGTCTAAAATGCACATCGGTCTCGCGAGAAGGCCCAAGTGGTCACATGATGACAGGAAGTGAGTTTTGGGTCCAAAACGCTGCCGGGAGATTACCGATTTTCAAATGACTCGCCCAAGTAAAGTCGACACTTCATTAAACTGCAAAAGCCGGCGCGGCCGTTTTCCCTCACTCTGTGCTTTGTTTATTTGCAGCTTAGTGTGTTGACTCACAACTGTACACACACAGACACACACATCTCATACTAATGAAATTTAAGAGGCGAGAGTGTGGAGCTGGCAGGAAGTGGAGCGATAGAATCGGATTGACAGCAACATGAAGGAAAACGTGCGAGACGCCTCAAGCTCGGCCTTCAAATAGGAAGCCAGGAAGACGCGCGCTACTCCAAGTCAACCGCGACAGCAATCAGCAAGTCCGCGTTATTTTTATCACTGTGCTGCTTAGAAATACGAACCGGCACTTGACCAATTTCGGCTCCTGCGAAAATTTTGAGATACCAATGCCCTATGAGATGTTCAAGATGCATCAAGCCTGACCATTTTTTTTTCCACAGCAAGGTTAGTGGAGTTAACGAAACTAACAAAATAATCCAAACCATCCATCCATCCATTTTCGGATCCGCTTATCCTCACAAGGGTCGCGGTTGTGATGGAGCCTATCCCAGCTGTCATCTGGCAGTAGGCGGGGGACACCCTGAAACGGTTGCCAGCCAATCGCAGGGCACACAGAGACGAACAACCATCCGCGCTCACACTCTCACCTAGGGACAATTGAGAGTATTCAATTAGCCTGCCATGCATGTTTTTGGAATGTGGAAGGAAACCGGAGTACCAGGAGAAAACCCACGCAGGCACAGGGAAAACATGCAAACTCCACACAGGTAGGCCGGAGCCGCAATCGAACCCTGCACCTGTGCACTGTGAGGCCGACGCGCTAACCGGTCGAACACCAGGCTGCCCGAATCAACATCGAAATTGACATTTTCATGCAGGAAATTAAAAACCAAAATGCTTTTATAAAATACAAACTAACTGAAACTAAATTTGCTTGATCCTACTTTCGTAAAATGTGTTCAGACTAACCCAGTCAATGTGAACAGTACAATTCAGATTTTTTTTCCCAATGAAACCCTCTTTCGTATATGGATATAAATCAGAAATAACAGCATGGACACTCCAGTTGCGCTCATCTGATGCACACATCATGTAAAGGCAACACATGTCAGTATTGTTCGGCAAAACAGACGCCGCCATAACCAGAGGTAGGCGGAAGTTGCAGCGGCCAAAGTAGTTGACGTGAAATGATTCAGTTAAAAAATATATATATATATATATATATATATTGTCGCATTTGATCCTGCAATGTGAACGTTTACGTCGGATTGAACAAAATAAAATTGTAATTGGCCGCCATACCCGGCAGTCATAAAACGCAGCCAAAGTAATGTGCTCCTGTGAACTGTCAACATAGAAAATTCGTTCCTAACATGACTTGAAACATTAAAAAAAAAGAGACACGGGCAGACATGCGCAACTCCCTTTCTAACCACTTTCCCCTGGTGTGCACTGACTGCATGGCTAACGACGCCTGTCGAAGCTTGAAATTGAAATTGGGCCTGATTTTAAAAAAAAAAAAAAAAAGAGGAGCTGGAAAGCAGCTAAATTGTCAGTGTGTGCTGATCTTAACTCAAATATTTGACCGCTTCGATTCTGTCAGCTTGCGGTTCGAGCCCTCTGGGACACTTGATGTTGTCGGACTGTTATTTGATTACCGAGCTTTCCGGCGGTGATTACATCTGACTGGGGATGAAAACTTGTAGCTTGTGGTGGAGCAAGACGTCGCGGAGATCGACGTGCTCGTCAAAGTTATCTGTAAGTTTAGAAAAATTCTTTGGCCGCCGGGTTTGAGAACGCATCACGATACCAGACGACGCTGACTGGCAGGTAAAAGGTCTGTGGAGTCTTTGGAATGCCATGAGGATTTGTGCGATGCCCACCTGCATTACTTGATGCAAACCGTATTAAGGCACCGCATGGCAAAGTTTCTGGAAAAGTCTCGAGACCAAGTCATGATAAAGCACTTGACTTACTGATCAGATCAACTTTTCGTGTTTGGAGTGTCTCAAGGACCCATGCCTTGCCAAATTGTGTTTTAACGTACACATTACGGAGGCGTCACATCACCAAGCATCTAGAAAATTCTTTGGGATTGAGGATGAATCAAGATATGGCACTAAATTAAGTGAAGGAATAAACTTGCGAGTCTTTGGAGTGCCACAGGGATAACTGCCACACCCACTCGTGTTATTTGATTTTGATTATGAGGGTGTCACATCACTAAGCTTCCAGAAGTCTCGAGGGTAGAGGATGAATCAAGATATGGCACTAAATTAAGTGATGGAATAAACGTGCGAGTCTTTGGAGTGCCACAGGGATAACTGCCACACCCACTCATGTTATTTGATTTGGATTATGAGGGTGTTGTATCACTAAGATTCCAGAAAAGTCTCTTGGGTTGAGGATGAATCAAGATAAGGCACTAAACTAAGTGATGGAATAAACTTGCTCGTCTTTGGAGTGCCACAGGGATAAATGCCACACCCACTCGTGTTATTTGATTTGGATTATGAGGGTGTCGCATGATTAAGCTTCCAGAAAAGTCTCTGGGGTTGAGGATGAATCAAGATAAGGCACCAAATTAAGTGATGGAATAAACCTGTTAGTCTTTGGAGTGCCACAGGGATCAATGCCACACCCACTCGTGTTATTTCATTTGGATTATGAGGGTGTCGCATGACTAAGCTTCCAGAAAAGTCTCTGGGGTTGAGGATGAATCAAAAGTAAGGCATTAAATTTAGTGATGGAATAAACTTGCGAGTCTTTGGCGTTCCACAGGGAGAACTGCAACACCCACTTGTGTTATTTGATTTGGATTATGAGGGTGTCGCATCACTAAGCCTCCAGAAAAGTCTCCAGGGTTGAGGATCTGTCACAATATGGTGCTCTCTTTAGTCTTTGGAGCGCCACAAGGATTAGTGCCGCACCTTCCCGTGTTACATGATGTAAGTAGTATGACAACATGACATCATGAAGCGGCCCCAACCGACTGACGATATAAAGTTCTTTATTTAGTCTCCTTTCTCGACTTGACGATAAAATGTTAGCATTTCTGTATGTGTATGCTTGTGCGTGAGCGTGTGTGCGCGCGTACGTGTGGTGCGGTGCGATAAAGTTTGCAGTAATAAAGCAGCTTGAAGTGTTTCGTGTTAGTTGTCACGTAGAGCCAACAACAACAATAAAAAGCGGCACGCAGCGGTTGCATTCCTCACACGTCAGCGTCACAAATGCGACTTCATTAAAAGGCTCACAGGAAGAAAAAGATTGCGTAAAGCTTCTCTGCACTTTTTTTATTGATTGGCTGCAACCTAGAACATCTTTCTTTCTTTCTTGGACTCGGCGACTTGCTGAAATAGTTTCGAGAAGCAGGACAGAAAATATGCCACGCTTTCAATTTTGGATGATGCCTGACGAGGGTTTTTTTTTTTTTTTTTTGCTTCTTATTTTTTCTCAACCTGAGAGCTGTTAGCATGCGCGGTAAATGCGGGTACTAGCTCAATAAAGGTAAACTCTCCTGCACGTCGGTGCCATGAATAATTAATGAAGCTGCAGAATCCTCATTAAGTCACAAATTCAGGGGTTTTTTTTTCTTCCTTGCTTTAACGAGCTCAGCCTAAAGTCTCTGTGTTTGTTTGTTTGCGTCCTCGGAAAGATCCGCAAGCGCTGCGCTCAGGATCATGAGGATGATGGTGTTTTTTGATTGTTCTATGAAATTCAATGGGTTCTATATGGGTAATATAGGTACAGTATCTATGTTCTTTCTGGGTTCTATAGGTTTTCTACCTGTCTTAGTTCTGGAGCACTCCTGGTCGTATCTGGATTCAGCAAAACTTTTATGTTCTGTGGATTTTTAGGTTCTGTCTGGGTCCGATAGGTGCTATCTTCTTTTTATGGCATTCTAGTTTTAAGAGGTCCCTGTCGGTATGTGCTGGTCATCGAGTTGTTGTTATTCTTTAGGTTTACGTTCCCTACTGGAACAACAAAGGCACCAGCTCGCCGGCCTTCAGTCACGCCATCCATGGTCCAATCACAACTGGCCACACTCGCGCCCTCTTGGCTCGCTTACACCATCCTTCCCCCTTTAAATGGACCACCATTGTGCTGCTCACACACACACGCACTCAGAGGGAAAGCGCCTGCGGGGATGCGCACACGCTGACAGGGAGAGTAATTGGCCATCAAAGTAATCCAGACTCCTTCCTTCGGCCCGCCTGTGGAATTAGACACCGACTTGCAGCGTGATATTAAAGCGCCCGACCCAGTGTGTGAGCCTGCCTGCGCCGGCGTGTGTGCGTGTGTGAGTGTGTTTGCCCAAAACCTCCTGTGACCCTGAAGGCAAATAAATCCCATAAATAATAGAAGTCCAACAAACAAGTAAGGCGTGTTTAGAGGTTGGAGTCAACATGGCGGCGCAAGACTTTGTTTGTACAGGCCGATAATGCACTCGCCGATATTTACCGCCATTCACACACACACGCTGTAATCACATTTGAAGTGGACTCATAGTTGATGTTTCTACTTGATATGTCAGAGACTAACAAGGTTGGACTGGTGACCCAGACGCTAAAAAAAAAAGAATCAATAATCATCACCTTTGAAGTACTATTTAGGAGAATTAAATTATTATTTTGTACACCCGTTACATTCCCAGTGGAGACTGATTTTGATTACACACACACACACACACACACACACACACACACACACGCGCACACACACACACACACACACACACACACACATTTTTACACATGCAGAGCAGAGTGATGTTTATGAAGGAGGAAGTTTGACTTTGAAACACATTTATGGACGCCGGTGTCCTCGCCGGTCTCATGACATGGATTTTTCATCTGTGTTAATATTTCAGCAAGATGGCGGCTGACGGCGGTGTCACATGAAGGGCAATAAAACACTTTGACTGGCGTGTGTGTGCGCGTGTGTGTGTGTGTGTGTGTGTGTGTGTGTGTATGTGCGTGCGTGCGTGCGTGTGTGTGCGGCATCATCGTGGACTCAAAGTTGAAGTTTCCACTTGGGATGTAACGGGTTTTCCAGTAAAAACTTCACCATGTTAATATTAAATAGGACCGGATTTTCTGCACTATAAGGCTCTCTGGAGTATAAAGCGCACCTTTGGAGAATGGCCCATTTTAAAAATGTTATCTCATATAGGGCGCACCACATTATAAGCCGTATAGAATAGAAGCTAGAATAGTGGCTGCAATTGCGGTGTGCATCCATTAGATGGAGCTACGCAAAAGGGAATACAATACAATACAGCTTCATTAACTTTAACCGCTGCAGCTGTAACAAAGCGCTTTACAGATCATTTAAAATACTAAAAATGAGAATATTGATCCATATATAAGGCACATCGGATTATAAGGCACGCTGTCGGCTTTTGAGAAAATTGAATGCTTTGAGGTGCGCCTTATAGTGCAGAAAATACGGCAATCGATATGCGATTATCGTTCAGTCCGTTTTTAGCACGTGGAACTTCAGTAGAACATTGTTAGACAAATGAAAGAGGTTAATAAGTTTGATGTGCTGCGTCAGTTATTTGTCCACAACAAACTGGTTGAAGGTGTGCTCACTTCTGCTGTAACGGGTTTCCAGGTAAAACGGTCACACTACATCGTTAGCCTTAAATAGCAGCTCAAATGTGATTCTTGTTAGTACCATTTTTACAAATTGAGAGTTCAGTCGAATGTCGTTAGCCCAACATAACAGAAAAGTCTGACGTGTTACGATCGTACGTCATGTATTTTTCGACAACAAAACTTGACAGTGGACAAATCAAGTGATGGCAATGCTGATATTTTTGAGCCTACATTGAAGACCCGTTGCATATGTCATGTTTTAGGGTGAAATATTAAAATCTCTGTTTATCAATATCATTCCATCAAATGGATGGCTTTTTGAAAGCCTCAACATGTCCCAAAAATGTCCTGGCTGAAAATGTAGGAATTTGGGGGTTTGGAGAAAAAACCCTGCGAAAGTCACTCAGTAGTGCTCCCTGGAAAGAATGAAAAAAAAAAAGAGCTCCGAATACGAGTCTCATTTAAACGAAATGGAGGTTCGGGGGCCGGGGGGACTATGATAAAGAGACACTCGAAAATGTCGCAGGCCCTTTGACCATAATTGAACTGAAAGTCAGCCATTTGGTTTGAAGCAGCCATTTTGTGCAAGTGCCAAGCTCAGTATAACGGTCGAAAGAATAAACGGTACAAAGTAGAACGAAGTAATGGAAGCCACAGCAGAAAAGGGGTCATTCTGACCCGGTTGTGTAACTGTACAAAAACATCTTTGCACTCATGAGCTCTCCCTCGATGTTTTGGTTGCCTTCACGCTTCCAAGAATGGACGTGGACTCCCGAGGACTATTTGTGTCCTGGGCGCTTGGAAAAGTCTGCGTGTTAAGTCGAGAAGCAGCTCATCACCCGCGCTCGTCTGTCTGCGTCTTATTTGAGCCATCTATTGATGTCGATGTTGTTGGCAGGATTTGAACCTGCGTGGGACAAAATTCAGACTGCTATTGTTTTCCCCCGAAATTTTTATTTTTTATTTTTTAATATGTATTTATGAAATTGAAATGATTGTTGATACGCGTGATGATTTTGAGCTCAAATTGGTGATTTTTGAAAAGTTCTCCTGGTTTGATGTGTTTTGTGTGCTCCTCCTCCTCCTCCTCCTCCTCCTCCTCCTCATGTCCTCCTGTCAACGTCACCTGTAACATCTTCATCAACAGCTTTGGCTCCATCGCTGAGACGACCATGGTAAATAATTCCCTCTGTTTGATGAAATGTCACGCAAAAATAAATCCGTCATGTTCTCTGCATGTACAAGCTCAACATTAGCCATGTCAAACTTAATTTTCATCAGGGGCCAAAGTGTAGTTCTTCCTGCCCTCAGGGGGGTTGGGGGAGGGGGGCCTTGCCCCAACGTTGTAATGGTGAAACTACATCACAGTAAACTTATAATTGCTACGCCAAAGGACATGATTTTGCACGGATTGTGGTTTTCAGTTTACAATTCCGTTCACTCCTAACAATAATGTTTTGTTTTTTTTTAATTGAACCCCTGAAATTTAATTCTCATTTATTGTTGTATCATTGAGATGCACCTGCAAATGAAGACAGAAATGTCGAAAGTATAGGATTTGTGTTGAGACCAAAAAAAATAAATAAATAAATCTGTTTATAACGAGGATGCTGTTGCATCTCAAATTTGGTTCAATTCAAAAGTGAGATTCGTATGTAGATTCATTACACACCAAGTAAAGAAGCTCATGGTTTTATTTTATTTATTTACTTTTTTTTTTTTGGTGTGGGGGGGCGGGATTTAGACAACTAATACCCCAGATTTACCGTTTCTTATTTGTTCATATAACCACGTGAATTGGTGTAAAACGTGTTTCACTTTTTAGTTGAGTGACTGAAATAAGGAGCCTTTTCAGAGAGAATCAGAATCACCTTTATTGTCATTGTATTGCATACAAAGAAATTTAGGTGCCACTCCTTAGTGCATTTCGTAAAAAAATAAAATAAAATAAAATAACGGTTTAATAACGGTTTTCTACACCTTATGCGTCTGCAAAAAATAAATCAATAAAAACGACTTTCTGCCAAGAAATGCTCCAAACGGGAGAACACAGAACAATCCACTCCGTGTTAATTTTCACACTGGCGACAAGCTTCAAATTGTCCTCCTACAAGATATTTGTGGAATTCCTAAATTAATTCCACTGCTGCTGCCGTGCGCCTCATTGAATCCGCCGCGCGCATCACCTGGCCGCCCACATTTGCACCCCCGTCCGCGCCCCCCCCCCACCCCCCCACCCCAAGGAGTCAATTGAGCCGGCATCATTACACGGAAATTCCATTAGCGCCGATAAAAGGGAGCAGCGAGCGTGCACGTGTGGCGTGTTGCTCAGGCTGGGATGCCCAATTCATGTCATGTGCGGATCATATCTTTTTCCCACATGTATAGCAAACGTGTGTTCTGTTTTATGACCGCAGTCGAGCTCGTATCCTCGTTGACTAAATGTTAAATGCGTCTTGTTAATCACAAAAGCTACTTCCGTGTTTCACGCATTTACACGCCTGCCCTGGTCGCATCTATGATTGGCGGAAGTTCACGTAAATGACGGTGAGTGATGAACGCTGTTTTTCTTGAAAGGGATGTTAAAATTAAACCAATAGCGTACATACTGGATATTGTTTTACGTAAATAAAATGTTTTTTTTCCAAAAAGAAATAAAAGAACCTACACGATCTCTATGAGTTTGTGATTGGATGTTCGAAGGCGGAACTTCCGGTGCAAAGGCTCTCCGCTAACACAACACGCGACAAAACCAAAACTAGATTAGTTTTCGGGCTCACATACCGAATACACAATGGCAGCCACAGAACGACCTTGAAGTGCACAAGATTGTTTTCTTCTTATAATTGACGTCATTGATAGATTGCCTAAATTATGACATTACAGTCGATCAGCAATTTTGCATTAAATGCAAAATATCGACCGATCTCAATCCAGTCAATCAGATCGGTTTAAAGTCTCGTTGCGGCCGAATGTAAATTAATACATGTACTGTACTTCTGAAATAGCATATTTAATTTCATAACCACCTCTTGTGTATGTGTGTGTGTGCGCGCGCTCGTGTGTGTGCGAGAGAGAGAGAGAGAGAGAAGTGAACAATGACTGGCCACTAATCCGTGCCAGCAGATTAGAAAGAAAAACAACAAAGTACGGAACTAATCGGATTTATCATCTTTTATCCCGGCGCTAAATCCATTAAGAAGATCCCGTGATAACAAGTGCGTGTGTGTGTGTGTGTGTGTGTTTGCGTGCGTGCTTATCTCCCCTTGATTTGAATGCAACTCCACGAAGGCCGCCCGCCACTTGAACAATTCTTATTATCACATTAAAGATTAAGTGTTCATTATTTTCTGTCCCAAACAACTGGAACAGTGAGGGGTGGGGGACACCCCATTCATTCCAGTAACATCTTGCAAAAAGTTACTGGGGGCTACTTTACATGCCTGCAACTGTTTGTTTTGTTTTTTTACCTCTTTTGAGCCTTGTGTTCATCATGCGCTATGATGTCACATCATGTATGACATCAAGGTGAAAGTTGATCGCATTGTACAGTGTGTTGCTTTTATTTTTGATTTTTTTGCCTTTTGTTGCTCCGTTGTCTGCAGCCGCATAAGCATCACAATTGACAATTGAAGGCAGGGTTGTTCAAATCCGGCCCTCAGGGGCCGGTATCCTCCATGTTTGAGATGTTTCCCTCCTCCAAAACGCTTGATTCAAAAGATCAGGACCCGATTTGAATACCCGTCCGTGTTCTAAGGCTTAAAAGAACTTTTTTTTTTTTTTTTTTTTGCTTCTTGAAAAAGGATTTTTGCTAATCACCCAAGCACTTAATTCTGGTGTTTCAGAGTTACATGTCAGTCTTAGGTTAGCTTTGCAATTAGCACGGCTTTCTCATTTTATGTTAATTACTCCATGTCATCTCCTGTGAGTGGGATACAAAATGCAAATTTTGACTCACAAACTGCAGTGTAAATCCGCTTATTTGGAGCCTTGCAATCTGTTCTCAGTTGCCTTAACTGGATGAATCAAGGCTAATTTATTAATTTCGGTAGTATTTTTTTTTCATCCATTTTCAACATCGCTTATCCTGAAGATTGTCGCGGCGAGTGCTGGAGCCTTTAACTGACTTCGGGTGGAAGGCAGACAATCCCTGAACTGGTCGCCAGCCACTCGCAGGGCACATATAAACACAAACAACTATTCACATCCACACCGTCACTGAGTGGGAACCGATCTCACGCTGCCCGCACACAAGTGAAGGTGAGCGTACCGCTACGCCATCAGCGACTTACCAGAGCTTTCGATTTCCTTAATCGCGCCGTTCTTCTTTCATTTGAGTGGAGCGGCGGCGGAGGTGAAGCTTTAGGAGAAGTAACTCACGTGTGTTGTATGTTGACAGGACTACAGAGTGAACATCTTCTTGAGGCAGCAGTGGAACGACCCGCGCCTGGCGTACAGCGAATACCCAGACGATTCTCTGGACTTGGACCCGTCCATGTTGGACTCGATCTGGAAGCCTGACTTGTTCTTTGCCAACGAGAAGGGAGCCAACTTCCACGAGGTCACCACTGATAACAAGCTGCTGCGCATCTCCAAAAACGGAAATGTGCTCTACAGCATACGGTGACTTACATGTTACAGTTTGTGTTATTAGCTACATTATTCATCTGATTTGGGCCCAAGCGGAACATGGCTTGCTTTAGTTGTTGTTTGTATTCCTCGGCATCCTCCAAAATGGCAGCAATTGCGCTCTGTAGAGGTTTTCTGAAAATCAGCCCCTGAATCCAGTTTAACTTTTCAAGATGAAATTTGATAGGTTTATCAATCATGAGTAGACCCACAAAAAAATCTCAAAAAGACGCACCTGAAAAGACACAGAGGAAGTCCACCATCGTTTCAACATTCCGTCTCGTGGGTCATTTCAAAGCATCTTTGCCACTGGAATTACTTTTGAAAATTCACTCCAAATATAAACTTTGGCAGATCCGTCCGTCTATCATAAGTAGACCCCAAAAAAGTTTCATCAAGCCATGCCCCAAAAGACATCGGAAGTCTGCCATTTTGATTTGAAGGGGCCAAAACAAGGGCGCCTTCCAGTGAAACAAAGCCCCAAAGCCAACTTGGTGTCGCAGCATCAAATTTGGTAACCATGTCTATCACAAGTAGACCCACAAAAAACTATCAAGATGTCATGCCTGTGAAAAGACACAGCAAGTCTGCAATTTTCATCTGAAGCAGCCATGTTGTGCATATTTTTGGCCATTCACAGAAATTAAGAAATTCTGCCCCCAAAACCAGTTTGCATGAAGTTGGGTAGGCTTGTCGATCATGAGCAGGTCCACAAAAAAAGTCTGAAGAAGCCATGCCTGAAAAGACAAGGGAAGTCTGCCGTTTTGGTTTGACGTGGACATTTTAGACACTTCCAGAGGGTTCTTCAAAGATGGTCTCCTCCTAGAGTTATTATCTGATTTTTGGGGAAAATTCAGGCCGCAAAGTCAGAACTCAGCAGGAAAGAATTTGGTAGGCTTGTCTATCATGAGTAGGCTCACTATAAAGGTCTGGGAAAGCCACGCCTGAAAAAGACAGCATGTTGGCTTGAAGCCGCCATTTTGGTCTTTAAAGTGTCTTTTAAAAGACAAAACCTTAAAAGATTTTTTTTTGATAGCAACCAAATTTAATTTTGTAGACAAAACAGTTTAAAAATATTAAAGGGTTAAAAAAGCTGAGCTATTCAGACGATTTCACGTCATGGCCCGTTGCAAATGAGTCAGCTTGAATTTTAGTTCCGGAAAAATGAGTCATGTTTTTGTGACTCGCTGGTGTGTTTTATCTTTTGAACTTGCTGGCAGGAAGCGTATGAATGTTAATGAGCTTTGAGGAAAGACTTTTTGGGCACTTTGATGCAGTTTGAGGCCGTACTTGATGACTTCCACTTTACAGCGCGGCAGAGACCTTGACGCCGTTCCTGCGGAACTATATCAATGCGTCAAGAGCGGGACGAGCCGCTTTTCTTTTCATCACGTCCCGCTGACGTCCAATTCAAGGCTGCAGGAGTTATAGCCGACTCGGTCGCACCTCCTCCTCTTCCTGCCGTTCCCTTTTATTGCCTCGCCTCGCCTCGCTGGTAATCTACGGAGCTTCTTAGTATTCCGGCGGCGTGCGGCGTCCATCATGGCGGCCACCGGCAGACGGCGAAGGAGAAGCTACGAAGCTACGAGGGCCCTTCACAGCGGCACAATCGAGCCCCGTTTAGAAGTGGGATTAAACCGCGCTTGGTTTCTTTTCCGTACTCCTTCGCAAAACAAGGAGGGGCCCAAGAGGTGTACTTTGAGGGGCCCTACGACTGAATCATTCCGAATGCGCCCGCTGACTGTTCCAAGTCTGAAAGTCGAATTTGTGAAGGCTTTATAGGGGTGAAAAGAAACTCCTTAATTGAAAGAAAAAAAAAATACTCAACTTTCGGAGTTTGTTCTTTCACGAATGAATATTTACAAGTTAATGGATTTTTTGGGGGGTAAAAGTCGTTTCTAGCATGAGGTTTTACATTTCATCAAAATGGGCAGCAGAATTCGCGACCAGCAGTCAGGCCGTTCATGAAGAACAATCCCAAAATGAAAAGTCACGATGCAGTTATGCCTTAAATACGATACATTAAACGACAAACCAAAAAAGTGAAACAAAAATACGATTTACATTCTCATACTTCAATCATTTAAGATTATATTTAAATTATATTTTAATTTTGTCCTTAATTAAAAGGACATTCTTTCAATTGTCTCATGTCACATCAATACAGGAGGCAAATTTTAATAATCATTTTGGACTTTTATTTTGAAAACAAAATAAATGTACCAATCAATCAAACTGTGAAGATTTGGGGGAATGGGAAAAAGCTGAACAGACTAGAGACCGAATGGTTTGAATCGGACAAAAAAATATAGAAAATGGGAGTGAAATGTGTAAAAATGTGAAAAATATATTTTCATCCAATTGTGACTTTTTGTTCCGACAAAATACGTCTTTCTTCTTATCAAGATTGTAACCTTTTGGGGGGGAGACGTAACTTCATTTTCATAGTATTGCCCAAAAAAAAAAAAAAATTGGCACCTTTTTGATTATTAGTGTTATACATTAGGAGTATGGTGTCATTCGTGGCCGATGTAAAACATGATGCAAGACATCCAAAATGTCCTCCTGCTGCTTCGACCGTTGAGCTTTGAGCAGAAACGGCAGTTTATGATTCTCCCTTTTCATTATCCCGATTTTATTGCCCCCTGCCACGGAAAAACCGCATTACAGGCGGAGCTGCGGCACATCGCCCGCTCGGTCGTGTCGCTCTTCGTGCACTGACGCAAAGCCCGCATTGGAACCTGGAACCTCTCGTGCGGGAGGCAGACGTGCCGACCACGAGGGCGCTGTGCTGCCCCTCATTTACGCCAGACGCAGGAACTCTTTCATTTCAAACGGGGACCAGTTGAGGCAACTGCAGTTTGTTTTGAATTAATTGAACAACAACTCCTGTTGCGACGCAGTCATGATATTTAATCGAGATCAACAGAATCTTCTGAGCAACGCACGTGTGTGTGTGTGTGTGTGTGTGTGTGTGCGTGCGTGCGTGCGTGCGCGCGCGCGCGTGCGTGCGTGCGTGCGTGTGCGTGTGTGTGTGTCTACACATAACACTGGTGCTGGCCTGTCCCATGGATCTGAAGAACTTCCCGATGGATGTGCAAACGTGCATTATGCAGCTGGAAAGCTGTGAGTGTGCACGCACGCACACACACTTGCACACAAACACACACGCGCGCGCACACATTGATAATGTACATCTACATGATGATACAAACGCGCACAAGTAGTACAAGCACACTCGTTTATAGTATCCATGCAGTACACACAAACACACACACACACACACGTTATACAGACACTCGAGAGAATATGCACGCACGCAAGTGTAATACGGTATACAGATACGCCCACATGTTTATTGTACACACACACACACACACACACACACACACACACACACAACTTTATGGTACACAGTTACAGCACAAAGACGCGCACACACACAGTGCAAAGAGACACTTTAATAGCACACAGAGAGTGTTTATAATAGACACACACACACGTGCACATTTCCAATATAAGCATACGCACAGTATACACGCGTGCATTTTACACTGTACGCACATACAAAGTACACACACAAATGTTATACGCTGACACTTGTGCTTTTAATATGCACGTACACGCACATTTTGTGCACACGTAGATGCATTTGTAACGTACTCTTCAGATACACACACACTCACACATTTTTATAGCATATGGGCACACACACAGTGCATAGATGCATTTATAGTGTATGCACACACACACACACACACATTCCTGTACATACATGATGCACACGTTTAAAATATCGGTACACGCGCATAAGGTATGCGCACACACACACGCACGGACAGAGCAAGGCGTGTGCCGTAGATGTGTGTGCGCAAACGTGAGGCGACTGGGAAGCAGGAGCGGCGCAGCGGGCCGGCGGACGCGCCCTCGGCCCGGCGCCAACGTCGCAGAGACGTGACATCACTCAGTAACCATAGCGACCACATCCTTTGTCCCGCTTCCATCCTGCCACCTTTGCTCGTCGCGTCTAAATAACAACAAGAGCAACGTTTGTCAAACTTAATAAGAAAAAGGGGACATATGACCCCATCGACCCAGCTACAAGTCGTAAAATATGATGAATACGTGCAAATGGCGCTCAGCTAACGTGTACGCGTGTGTTTGTGTGGGTGTTCAGTTGGCTACACGATGAACGACCTGATCTTTGAGTGGGACGAGAAAGGTGCCGTGCAGGTGGCGGACGGCCTGACGCTGCCTCAGTTCATCCTCAAGGAGGAAAAAGACCTCAGATACTGCACCAAACACTACAACACTGGTAAGTCAACAAAACGCAATTTGGCACCGCGACCACTACGACACAACAATCTACCTGCCACACAGTAACGACTAGCACCACTGGACAGCAATAAATCTACAACACAATCACTTCCACCACTACTGGGCAACATTCTACCTTCAACAAAGTCATTATGACCACAACTGGGCAATAATCTATTCACAACATAGTCACTACTACCACTACTGTACAACATTCCCCCTTCAACGCAATTACAACGCGATCACTACAAGACAACAATAAACCTACAACACAATCACGTCTTCCACTACCGGACAACAATATATAGTACATTCAACAATTACTTCGACCACTACTGGACAACAGGCCGCCGACAGCGTTGTCACTGCTACCACAACTGGACAACAATCTACTTCACACAGTCTGCACTGTCACTACTGGACAACAATCAACCTTAAATACACTCACGACTATCACAGCTGGACAACAATCGAGCTGCAACGCAGTCACTTTTACCACAAGTGAACAACAACCCATGTACCACACTCTCACTGCTACCACTACTGGACAACAATCTACCTTCAAAACAGTCACCACACCCATTATTGGGAATCAATCTACCTACAAAATCACAACTACTTCTACTAGAAATGGACATTACACAAACCCTTAACAACAATCTAACTACTTACAGTCATTACTTACAGTCATTACTACCTCCACTGGACAACAATCTACATAAAACATGGTGCCGACTGTGACGCGGTCATCCCCCTCTTGTGTTCCTCCACATTCCTCTTTGCTCCTCTTTGATTGTCATGTGCTCCTCGCCAAAGTGGCTTGTTGCTCCTTTTCGCGTTTGTGTCAAGGAGGACACAGTTCTCCATTTCCTTTACTTCTTATCTCCTTCTCTCTCTCTCTCTCTCAATATGCGCACGTGTGTGTGTTTTGCTGGCTGACTCCCGTTGCTCGATAAAACGGTATTGAAGGTGTGCTGTTGTTGTTTTTTTTGGTGTAAGGGGCTGGGATTTATTAGCTGCGGTGTGAATGCGAGAGAAGAGATTCCGCCCGGCAACACAAAGAGTGGGCGACAAAAAGCCTCTTGAAATACTAATTAAGTCGCCGCCTGCTGCATTGCACAACTCGCCTGCCCTGCACACCGCCGCCGCAGGAACAATAACAACCACAACAACGGGAACAATCAGGAGCGATCGCTGGACCTCGCAATGCGTCTTTCGCACCTCGGGCCACAAATTCCTTGTAATATCTTGAGAATATTGTTCTCACTTCTTTACAAGATCTTTACAATATCACAACGTTACCACTCACTGATTTCCTTTGACTCAACAACAATGTCCTTTAACCACAGTCGCAACTACCACTGCTTGACAACTGTCTGCTTGCAAGGCACATCATTACTGCACAGCAATCTACTGTACCTTCAACACAGTCAGAACTTCTTTTACTGTACAACAGTCTACCGTCAGAACAGTCACGACTCGGAAACAATCTACCTTCCGTCTGAGGTAAGAAAGGAAGCAAGGAAGTAAGAAAAAGGCAAAGGTGGGCAGGAAAGAAGTCAGAAAAGAAGGAAAGAACAAAGGAATGCTAGAAGTACCTAAGAATGCAAGAATCAAATCCAATCCTGAGGAAAAGATGGAAAAAAATTCTAGGAAAAAAAAATGCTGTAAATGTTATGACAACGTGTTGGTATTTGTTGTTTTTTTGAATGCCGTGGTCTTGGTTAATTCCAGTGGACTCCTCAGCACAACTTGGAAAAGCTTATTAAGTAGCACACCTTATTCTTGCCCGTATCTATAGTATCCCATATACACTGATGTGTGTGTACATGTGTGGTTGTGTGTGCGTGTGCGCGTGAGTCCCGGTCCACGAGACAGTATTGATTAAAGTTCTCACACACACACGCACACACACACACACACACACACACACACACACACACACACACACACACACACACACACACGCGCACACACACGGATGAATCATTTCAATCTTGTCCTGGGATGGAAAATATGGACGTATCTTAAAAGCTCTCAAGTGTATCGTCCGCATAAA